AGACCGCCTGTACGTGTTCGGAGGGGGCGAGAGAGGAGCCGAACCCGTGCGGGACCGACAGCTTCACGTCTTTGACACAGGTACCGCCGCGCGCGCGGGCACGTTGCGCCAAGCTGCCGAGGTCATCGTCCGTTCGATGGCAGGTTTGCGTTTCGGGTTTAGTCGGAGATGGAAGTGTTGGGCCCCTGCTTCGGCTGCGAGTTTAAATAGGTCGGTGAATGTTCTGCGTGACTGACGTGTGCGCAGCTCTGCGTAGGCACTGGGAATTTGGGTTAAAACGGCAAGGTACAGATCTGGGGTGGAAATGCAAAGGGAGGTCAGGGTAGGTTGAGGTATTTGCCCAACAGCTCTTTCCTTTCCCTGGTGGCATCGCAACGTGCTGCTCGCCCCGGGCTCTGTTGGTGTCGGCCCATTCGCCCTCCTGGCCCTTTATGCACCGGGAAGAGTTTCCAGGTTGAACTAATCTTGCCCGCTGCTGGGTGATGCAGATTGTGCACAGAACTCTATCTGAGGGCTTATTCGTGCTTTGTAGTACGGCATTAACGCTTCTCCGACGCTGCTGGAAGCACTCCCTCGGGAAGCCTCAGCAGGGGGTCCTGGGTCACTGCTTTGTGGCGCTTCCAGAGTTCTCTTCCTAATGCGTCTGTACTTCCCTTTTTAGCCACCTTGACTTGGTCCCAGCCAGATGTTCATGGTGATCCCCCTTCTCCTCGGCAGGGACATGTGGTGGCTGCGGTTGGGACCAAACTTTTCATACATGGAGGTTTAGCTGGTGATATTTTTTACAATGATCTATTCTGCATTGATATAAGTGAGTATGGCTATAGGTGCCTTTAGAGCAATAGCTGTTGCGTGATGTATTTTGCTTTCAGGGAGACCTTTTTTCTAAAAGATCAGATCTTAAATGCAGTAGGTATGCTTCAGGAAGTTGGATGCAAGATGAGGTACTCTACTTTTGCTCTTTCCACCAAGGTAAGCATGCGGGAAAAGAGTTGCGCAGGCCTCTCCGTTCATTCGCAAGCAGGAGGCAATCTCCCTCGTTGCCAGTGAGGCATTTGCCCATGAAATGGTGTGTGAAAAGCCTCTAACAACGCCGGCTCTCCTTGATATGAGAAATATCAGCATTAATGCAAAAAACATGAATTTAATTAATGCCAGGCAGCTCTGGTTCATGGGAAGGAGAACACATTACACTCCTCAGAAGGAAAAGTCTTTGTATGTTGCCATCTCTTGTTCAGCTTTGCGCAAAACCACGCGATCCTCCTACTTTTGCAGAATAGTATCCAGTAACCTGCCCCTCAGTTTGGATGTTTGGCTCTAAAAGAAATAGCAGTGTTTATACATAGCCTGAACTCCGGAAAGCGAAACCCTACAGCGAACCCTTTTTTAAAATAAAGAAAATCCATACATTGGGGTAGTTTCCCTGAGGTATTTCAGACATGTTGTACCATTATCCAATTTATGTTGAAAAACTTGGAACTTTTTTTTCTTGCAAAGCATTGTTTTTCTCCAACAGATGACTTGAAATGGGTTAAGATATCAGCCACAGGTGATGTCCCGGGAGGACGGGCAGCTCACTCATCAGCTGTGTTTAAAGACCACTTATACATTTTTGGTGGAATAAATCCAGATGGGGCACTAGATACTACATACAAGTATCACATAGGTAGGGAGACTTCTCAGCTGTGCAGTGGTAAATACTAATCTGCCTGAAAATATATTATGCCTGCAGTTCTTGGGTTTCAGCTTAGTAGTTTTATTGCACTGGAATCACACCAGTATAACACTAAAAGTAAAGCTGAAATAATTAGCTCTACTGCTTTTTTAAAGATCTATAACTGCAAGCTAGTCTACAACTAACCATGTCACTGTTCCTCCCTTGGTAAGTCTGTGAAGCTAGCTAAAAAAAGATACGAGTATGTATTTCTCGCACGGCAGAGAAGCAGCAGTGGACGCTCTTACAGTTTGACTCCCCGCTGCCCCCCGGAAGGCTGGACCATTCCATGTGTGTCATTCCCTGGCGGGCTAGCGCTGGCAGCGAGAAGGAGGACAGCAACACAGAAGCTGTCACTTGCGAAGACAAAACAGGGAAGGGAGCAACTGTGTCAGTCAGTGACACAGCTGCCTCGCCCCAGAAGAGCCAAAAGGAGAAGGCAGGTGCTGAAGACACAGTGATGCATCTGCTGTTAATATTTGGTGGGATGAATACTCAAGGGGAAATACACAGGGACTGTATTGTAAGTCTGATTGAATAGTATGTCTGCAATCCTGTACAGCATCAACCACTTCTCTGAACAGGGGTCTTACAGCAGTGGTTGTAACTGAAGTTCGCTTTCTCCAATAAACAAGTTATTGCCATCAAATGGACAGTACTGTGCTAACAACCCTTAAAGTGCTGTGGCTACACAGCCTTTCTGTGTGTAGAGGTCAGCCATACTTGAGGCACAGGGCCCCTGTGGAAGTATGCTGATGGTGGTAAGAAAGCATGTGACAGCCTGGGACAGTTTGCATTCATGTTTCTAGACGGCTTCCCCTCAAGTTCACAAAGCTTCATTACAGCAACATTTTACATATGAAAATAAAATGTGAGCTGGTTAAAAAAAAAAAACTGTCACCTTTAACTTTCATTATTTTTGAGAACAGGTGAATGAAAAGGCCAAGGAAGTTAAGAAAAGCTACAGCAGCAGGTGGTGGTTGGGACAGTACCCCAAAAAGCTCCCTGCTCAGTTTTTCCTTACAGTTGTCAGCAAGCTCATGTTACTTTTTAATAAGAGATCATGGTGCCAAAAATCAAAAGCAGGTGTTGAAGGAAGAAACTTTTTAAACAGGAAATTGATACAGAGTGGTCTCAACCATGGGAAGAGTGGTATTTGGGAACCAAGACCCTAAAGCTTGGATTTTAAAAGCTCTAGGATGTTAATACCCAGGCAAAATTGTGTATTGTAAATAAGCTTGGTTCCCCCACTTCCAGGTGTTCTTTAACATTAGAGTGACAGCAGGGGAATAAAGGCCTCTTACTCAAATTGAAGAGGCCAGTTTGACTACTGCTCAGTGTGATCACCTACATTCACAGGGCAGGGCAAAGAGTTGTCTTACAGGCTCTAGGGAAGCTGTACAACCAGAGAGACATGCCCCCCCCCCCTTACTATTATTCAGGCTAACCTACTCCCCCCTGCCCTTCCAAGATCTATTACACCATGCAAGTGTAGGCTGTTTTGAGCACAGCACTATAGAATATCCCTTCCTCACCCCCAAAACTTGAGCATCAGCAGAACAAGAAAGCTAGAACTGTCTCTCAGCACAGGAGAGATTAATTTACTCATTAAGCCTAAGAGCACTTAAGTACAGTCCTGTACTTAAATTCTGTACTTGGACATTCCCTAGCTTTAGCTGATAAACTCAGACTAATTAATGAAAGCTTAGAAGTCCGGCTTTAAAATCCACTCTTCAGGTTCTGCTATTGTTTCTTTCTATTATCCAATACAAGCACTAGCTTTAAGCTGCAGGTATTCAAAGTTAGAATTATACTTTGAAACAGACTCAGCTCTCTTTATATACCTCTAACACCTCTCCCACGGGGCACCATGGACTAGTCAAAGCCAAGCAGACTTCAAGGACTTGTATCAGAGTTACCAAACTTACAAAGCAGAGCTAATTAAAACAAACCTCTAGAGGGGGAAAAAAAATCTCACCTCGAAGAGCTACTACATCAATAGATGAGCTGAACTATCATTTAGTTAGAGTTCAGTTTGGTAAAACCAGCCAGTGCTGCTACATAGTAGAAAATACAAGCTAGAACAAAATCCAGTGTAAATAACAAATTTATTGTGGTCACTTCAGGTAGAAAAATTCTACACCAAATGCACATGACCAAATTGTTAAATAGAATACTTCCACTGTGAATACTTCTAAACCCACTTCTCATTTACACTCCCACCCCTGCTACCCTTCCCTCCCCAGACATCAAGCAACTGCTAATGAAAAGCAGTAAACAGCCACTTTGGGCTAGCATTTCCAGCTCCACTCATGAGTGAAGGCTCAAAATTACATTCCAAATTAGAGTTCAATATTTTAAACAAGTGTTCCTGAGTCCAATATATACACAAACACTCTACATTCAGAGATGCCAGTATCTACAATTCATCCTTCTCTCCTGCTTCTTCTTCACCAGGGGGAGGGCCTGCACTTCCATAGAGCTTGCTAACAATTGGCTGGACAACTTCTTCCAGTTCCTTCTTTTTTGCTTTGAAGTCTTCAATGTCAGCATCTTGATGGCTTTCAAGCCACTCAATCTTCTCCTCTACTGCTTTCTCTATTGTTTCTTTGTCTTCAGAGGACAGCTTACCACCCAGCTTCTCTTTGTCCCCAATCTGATTCTTCAGAGAATAGGCATAGCTTTCCAGCTCGTTCCTGGCATCAATACGTTCTTTAAGCTTCTTGTCTTCCTCGGCGAACTTCTCAGCATCATTAACCATTCTCTCAATCTCTTCTGGTGTCAACCGGTTCTGATCATTCGTAATCGTGATCTTGTTTTTGTTTCCAGTGCCCTTATCTTCAGCTGTTACACGCAGGATCCCGTTCACATCTATTTCAAAGGTAACTTCGATCTGTGGGACACCACGAGGAGCAGGAGGAATTCCCGTCAAATCAAATGTTCCCAGAAGATGATTATCCTTGGTAAGAGGGCGCTCACCTGGAAGAGACAAAACCAGATGTTGTTTCTTTCTTACCTAATTGTGTTTTGCACTTTTTCCTGCAGCACTAGCTTTAAGCTACGGATACTTCAAAGCTTGAACTCTGGAACCAACTCCAATCCTATTTACGCACCTACAGTATCCCCCCCCTTACTTGGGGGTTTTCCCCAGGGTCACATTCTAGAAACTCCATTTGAAAATACACAGGCAGCTTTTGATGCCACTCAGGAAACTTGATCAGAGCAGCTTCATTCAGCTGTTAAACCAGCCAGAGGCCATGCTGTTACCATGCTCCTCCCTCCATAAGGGCATGGAAATTGGCAAACTTGAGATATACTGCATCCTTTTAACAAGGCAATTTCAAACATGGAAGCCTTAAGACATTTTGCAGCTGTTTACAGGGTCTGTCCCAGGGGCACTTACCTTCATAAACCTTGATTGTCACAGTGGGCTGGTTGTCAGAAGCTGTGGAGAAGATCTGAGACTTCTTTGTGGGAACAACAGTATTTCTTGGGATCAATTTAGTCATTACACCTCCAACTGTCTCAATGCCAAGTGTCAAAGGACACACATCCAGCAACACCAAGTCACCTAAAATGGAACAAGGTTAAAAACATGATGCAGTCTCAGTTCTTTAGACAGGCACAACATCCTATCGCTGTAAACTAAGACCTTAAGAAGCCTTAAGATTCTAAGGCCTGGAAAAGGAAACATAACTCAGTTCTCCTTAGAGTGCACTCGTGTCAATAACCAGGACTGGCTATTCAGAGCCAGTAGTCTCTGGAAGTCACAGTAAAGTGAAGTCACAGTAAAGTGTAACTTACCTGTATCTTGGTCCCCAGAGAGAACACCAGCCTGAACAGCAGCACCATAGGCTACAGCTTCATCTGGATTAATGCCACGAGAAGGCTCCTTGCCATTGAAGAATTCTTTAACAAGTTGCTGTATTTTGGGGATGCGAGTAGAGCCACCAACAAGAACTATCTCATCAATATCGGATTTCTTTAGGTCAGAATCTTCCAGAACTTTCTGAACAGGCTTCATAGTAGAACGGAAGAGATCCTAAGAGGATAAAGGAAGCACAACAGTAAGACTGTATTCCCTACATTTAATCTCTAAGTAGGCAGCCTTAAGGTAAAAGAACCACCACTACAGAACATCAACTGCCTTACAATGAGCCTTGATGAGATCTTAATTGTCACCAAGTGTCCCCCCCCCCACACCTCTTCCTAGTTACCCTGGGAAAGGGTAACTTCTTGCTTCTCAGTGCAAGTAGATTTATACTCTGCTCAAGAGTAACAAAACTGCAGTGTGAAATGCTACACACTCAGAATTGGTAGCTGCACTAGCTTACTGACAAGCTACCTTTGTACACTCACCATGTTGAGTTCCTCAAACTTGGCCCTAGTAAGAGTCTCAGAGAAATCCTCTCCTTCAAAAAAGGATTCTATTTCAATTCTGGCCTGATGCTGAGATGACAACGCTCGCTTTGCCTTCTCCACTTCCCGTCTTAACTTCTGCACAGCTCTGTTATCCTTCCTGACATCTTTTCCAGTCTTCTTTTTGTAGAGCTTGATGAAGTGCTCCATAACACGTTGATCAAAGTCTTCCCCACCCAGGTGGGTGTCTCCATTAGTAGCCACAACTTCAAAGACTCCATTGTCAATTGTGAGGAGGGAGACATCAAAAGTTCCACCACCCAAGTCAAATACAAGGATATTCTTCTCGCCCTCTCTCTTGTCCAATCCATAAGCAATGGCAGCAGCTGTTCTGTATAGAGAACAACCAAGTTAGAAAGTTTTGATTACTCCCTCCCCCGCCCCCAACAAAATAGTTAAGGCTACTTACGGCTCATTAATAATTCTCATCACATTCAATCCAGCAATAGTACCAGCATCTTTTGTAGCCTGACGCTGAGCATCATTGAAGTAGGCTGGCACTGTAACAACAGCATGGGTAACCTGAATAAGGAGTAAAAAAAGGAATAAAGAAAGTAGCTTAGAGGTGACCTTGGTAATACTGATACAAGTAGTTCACTGTTCTACAAATAGAAATAAAAACCCTACAAACCCATGCCATTGGGCTACACAAGAGAAAACCAGCACAGGAGTTCACGAGTACAAGGTCAGTCCACAGATTCAGCCCACTTATCTTTAGTTCCGTAAGGCTACTGCTTTAAGCTCTTGCAAGTACCACTCATTCACTTACTTTCTTCCCCAAGTAAGCCTCTGCAGTTTCTTTCATCTTTGTCAAAACCATAGCAGAAATTTCTTCAGGAGCAAATGTTTTTGTCTGTCCACCACCAACATCAACTTGAATATGGGGCTTGGCTTTCTTTTCAATAACCTAAGAAACACAGAGTATACTGTCACATTCCAGCAGTTCATGAAATTGTTCCTAGTGCTTCAGGCTGTCTGCTTCCGCCCTTATGAAGGGTCAGCAAATCTACTATGGTAGGACATGGATGTGAATGGTAGCCCTCTGTAACCCTAAGAGCAGAAACTTACACCCCTCAGCCAGCTCACTGCACCACAGCCCCTCTCAGGAGGATTACAATACTGCAGAGTAACTCAGAAGAGCTCTGCGATTGAGTCGCTTCCTCTGACAAGTGGCACAAAGCAGTACTCGCAACCACTCTTCCGACCAGACGCCTGGGCCCCCCTTCCCCC